CTCCTCTCCTCAGGTCTCATAGAAATGCCATTAGCATTTTTCTGATAAAAGAGAACAAATTGCTTGTCACGAGCTATGTTTTCCTCGGTTTCCATGTTTCTTTTCTAATCGAATTACCCCAACTGACACAGATTTAAGCAAGTAGTTTCATTCCAGGTCAAGGGGACATAGTGTAGCCATCAAGGGTCTGAATGAAAATTCCTAGCAAAATACAGTAATTAGAAGCAGGAGGAAAGCAGAATCAAAATGTCCCAGCCTGCCTAAGGGGAAGTCTGGTTAATTTCCAAATTATATGTGGCCCCGACACTGCACGGGGTTCTTTTTCATATGGGCAGAGAAAATTGGACCAGAGATCATTACAATAACCACACAAGACTGGGAATATAATTATAAACCATACCCTTGCAGGCAAATTATTTTAATGTGTTTCAAGAATTGAATACTCTGTATGGAATTAAAAACAAAGGGGAAAAAAAGCAACATGCAGAAAATTAATTAAAAAGAGGTAAGACAGAAAAATTTTGAATGTCATAAAATTTACAAATACAAAAGCAACAAATGAAAATAAATGCAATTACAGATTTCAGTAACATTAGTAGCCAGAACGTACCCAATGATTTACTTAATCGTCAAATATCTCACTGATTTTGAAAGGGGGCCACCCTCGTCTGATCCAAAGGACGTTACTCTCCCTTACATTATAAGCAACCTGTATAGACGGCTTCAAGCAGCTTTGAAGAGGTGGAGTTTCTTTTCTCAAAGAAAATAGACATGGAAGGGTTTGTCCCCTCTATTTTGCCACCGAAATTTGTACATTCATTCAACTCTTTCAACTAAGGCAACCAATGGACAATTTCTCAAGACCCCCAAACACCCTCAGAAGCCACAAATTCTGTTGTTAAAAAAAGAAAAGAAAAAAAAAGAAAGATGAAGAAATTAACAACCTCTACAGACAATGATTCTGTAAAGTGCAAGAATGGTTTGCTGTCTCAGCGTTTATGGATTTCATGTTAAGATTTATTGAAAAGAAAGAACGGATGGGCGTAGACGAGGACCCTGGGCCCCCAGCTGTGCATTGGATGGAGAAATGACCCGTATGAGAAAGGTGAGATGTGGACCGGCCCTCAGGTGTCCCTCCAACTCTGTGCACACCGCTGAGGTAGGAGCTTTGGAAGAAACGCAGAACTTCCTAGGGGACTGTTAAAGTGTCCGCTTGGGAAATCAGCTGGGGGCCTAAGACGGTCATACTCACGGGCCATGTGTGACCTCGCACGATTCCAGACTTGTATCAGATCGGCCGCAGGGAAGGGCAAGATCCAAGACAAAGCCACGTGAGGTGAGGTCCTGGTGCTGACCACAGGACATTTGCTGTCCAGCACAAATCAAGGGGCTGGAGGCAGGGGATAAGGTGGAAACCCGGGCAGGCATTCTACAAAATGGCTATTAGCAAATTGTATCAAAAAGTATCAAAACATTTCAAAAAACTCTAAAAACTGCCAGGCTTGGCAGATGCACAGGTCAGTCTGCGAGTGCCTGTGTGGGAGGTGCCCTGCACCCCAGGGTTTATCCTGAAGGCCGGGATGACACCCCCAGTTCTTCTCCCCTTCGGGGGCACTCAGAATCCATGGGGACACCAGGAGGCCCAAACCTCAGCTGCAGCTGTCCCTCCAGGATTGGGACCAGTGGGCTGAGAGTCTGCCCACTAGCTCTGAGAGCCACGGGGCCCGTGGGGTGCCGCTACACCGCCGAGGCCCAGGGGAAAGCATAAAGGTCAGCAGCTCTACAAGGAGTTAGGGGGGCCGCGGGGGTCCTTTCACCTTCCACATTGCTACAAATCACTGAAAGGTCACTCTTGGCTTAGGGGACGAAGTACTCTGAACCTCAAGTTAATGCATCCGAATTCACAGAGTAGGACCCTGGACCCCGGAAGAGGACTCCACTTCCCCTTGGCATTTGGGTTCCCACCCCAAAACTGAACACCCTTTAGGGTTTAGCTTCTGGGTCTCTACTAAGTCACCATGTGGTCACCTTATCATGAAGGGGTGGGGAGAGGGACATTCAGAATTCACGTGTGGCTCTGCTCAGATCGAGGTCTAGAAGTCCTACCTGGTAGTCTTCCGAAAATGGCAGAATGTTAAAAATACCAGTTGAGTGCTAAGTACAGGTAAGTTGAAAAGAAAGCCCGTGTATATTTTAAACAGCAGAAAGACCACTACGAGTGACAAGGGTTACAGAGCTTTCTCTTCTCCTTGCCTGCTGTCATCACACTTACGTCTTAAGCAAACAGGATTCCAACTTGGGTGAGGACCTAACCCCAAAGCTACAACTACTATGAAGTTAAAACTCTAACTCTTTAAAAAATCAGAAAAATCCAAACCTAAATAAAAGCCTGCCATACTTATTTTGAAAGACTAACACAAAAAATCCAGGTGTTCTCAAAGTTCAAGGGAACAGCTTGGCGCTCTGACAGTTTAACACAACGGCAAAGTAGCTATTTCCATCTCTGACGGCGGCGCGCACGAACTCGCTCCAGCGCGAAACCACACTACCGTGAGTGCGCAGTGCTAACAGCCACGTGCGTGAGTGCAGCCCCAAGCTCTGCCCATCCGAGATCAAAGCCACTTTCTTCCATTTTTAGTTGGCCTGCACGTCAGAGTGAGTTTTCAACTTAAAAACACAGGTAACGAAAACCTGGCCCACGTGCTACCCCGTGGCTGTCTCGAGCCTGTCCGTGGACTCCGGCAAGCTCAAAAACCCTTCTGCGTAGCCACCACCAACTACTAGGAGTTGGTCCACAAGACAGAACTTACTTATCCATCTTCCCTTTATTAATATTAGATTTGAAGCCATGTAAATTACAAACTGCAAATTAATAGTGTCAGGAAAGATCATAACATATAAGGTGCAGGACATTATTTGTCACCCACATGGTACAAGAAAATCCGAATAGAGGCCAGCACCTCACATGTATCTAGGGACAAGTCCCAGGAGCAGAACATGGCAAGAGCTGGCTTAGGCTCAAAAACAATGGCTCTCCTCTCCCCAAGGTCAAAGCATCCTGCTCCCCAAATCACTCAGACTTTATCTGTTCTCCCCGGCCTGCCCCTAGATGCTGGTTGAAGAACCACCTGTTTGCCCATGACCTGGGCTGAGCTAGGGAGAACAGCCCACATAAGCCACACCATGCTGTGCCTTCTGAAGGGTCTTCAAGTAATAAAACCTTTCCTGGAGTAAGATGGGGGCGAGCAATCCCAAAGTTGCCAGAAGTTCTGCAAAACATGTTTTGTGGCGGTCTGGGACTAGATAATGAGACAAAAAGAGTTTCGGGCTCAAAGAAGTTTGGAAATGCCAGGTTGATGGAAGGTTAACAATGAATGCAGGACTTCTCAGAGCCTTTAATACACTGGCGTGTTGTAGGGCTCTAAGAAGAGTTTACAGCTTCTTGATTTGTTTGCCTGCTTTGCAGAACCTCTCGACATTTTGCAAGCCTCTAGAGGCTTCCACATGCAAGTAACTAGCTAAATAAGTAGACAGCGCACCTAATTATCAACAGAGGGCAGTAACGTGGGTGTTGAAGCTTTCAACCCCAAACCGCTCCTCATCTCTCCTGGATAACTGCAAACAGACCCGTGAAAATCCCAGACAGCCTTGAAAGAGACGGAAAGGCAGTGCAGCAAAGACACAAAGGAAATGGAAATAAATGTTAACCAAGATCTTCTCATTCTAATATCAACGTTCACGAGACATCTTGCTGTCTTCTCATCTCTGCTATCAGATCTTTGCTGAGGCACAGACCACTAATGCCTTCCTTGGCTCAAGATCGAAACTGGTCCCAATCCTACCCTCCGGGGGGACTCTGCGTCGCGCCTCGGCGTGGGCAGCCGCCTGAGCGCGCTCTGAGGTCGCGCAGTATCGATGCCGCTTCTAGGAAGTCGTGCAGGAGTCAGCACGGGGCAGTAACCCATCTCGAAGGGAGGCGCCCGACACGTATCCACAGCTTATACAGAAAGCACTTCTGCCCCGACAGGCGCCCAGGGATCGTCTCACCTCACTCTAACCCTGTTGCTCAAGGAGTGCAGGGAACACATCGGGACTTGTTAAAGAATCTGCCTGGCAGCACAGCACTAATTCGTAGCAGATAACTGGGACCAGGACCTATTGCTGGAGTCGGGGGAGACGGGCGGCGACCCTCTTAGGGACCAACAGGTGCTCATCTGTGTGGGAGCTTTCAACGGCCTCTCAGAGAAAGACTCACAGAAAACAACTGCAAATTCTGTGGTGCTCACTTTTTCTTTCCTGAGAAAGAAACACAGATTTCGGAGCTCAGTACATCAGTACCGTAAGAGACAGTGTGTTCAGAGAAAAAAAAAGAAGAAGAAAAGGGGAGAAAAAAAGCACAAATTACAGAATAATGTTTATAAAGAGCTTCATGCCTTTTTTCTTTCTTTCTTGGTTACCTATCACCTTTAGAATTCAGGAAGATTACCAACCCGGAAAACTGGGATTATTCGGAAACAACATTCACCCGATACGGAAATCTCAGAACAGCGTTCTGCCAGGGAGTCCCCGCAGGCGTCTCACCTGCCAGCACAGGGAGCGGCGGGACCCCCGGTCACTCACCCAGCCTCTTGGGGGGGGTTTCTGTGCCCTCATTTATGAAACGCACTTGACCTCGCCAGCGACTCCCACATGCGGCTGATGCTCCGAACCCCAAGAACCGGTTAAAATGCAGTTTCCGAGCAGCCTCCCTTGCCCGCGCCTGTTCTGGATTTGACAATTCTGAGGTGGGGCCCAGGAGTCTGTATTTCTGAAAGCTCGGCCAGGTCTGGGGAGGCTCGGACTAGGCGTCCCGGCTCTGGGTTTCATTACAAACATCTTTACGTCATCCGTGCGCTGGCGACTGTCGGGGGACGGTGAGGGGGACCCAGGGGGACGGAGACCTGCACAGATAAAAGTTCTTCACTGCCTGGGCCCAGGTTTAATTATTCAAGCAAGGTATGTAAAGTTACAGGTAATGTTTAATTGGTTACTGTGATATCATAGAAATACCAGGAATCATAAAAGTAAAAAAAGTCGCTAAGCAGTACAGGATGGCACCAGGATCCGAGCAGTGGCTGCTGGTCCACACTCGGGAGCTGGCAGTGGCCGAGGCCCGGGCGGGCGCCGGCGGGTCACTGGCCCCGGTCCTGGTGCCTCTTGCCCTTGCCCTTCTTCTTCTTGTCCTCCAGCCGCGGCCTCAGGGCGCAGACGCAGGCCGACACGCCGGCGATGGCCTTGGGCAGGTCGATGCCTTTGCTCCACTTGTTGGCCTCCAGGTCGTACACCTGCACGGTCTTGGAGAAGGCGGTGTTCTCCCAGCTGTAGCCGCCCAGGATGTAGATGCGGCCCTCCCACACGGCCACGCCCGACTCGCTGTTGGCGTGCAGCAGCGGCGCCACGCGGGTCCACTGGTTGCACTGCGGGCTGTAGGCCTCCACGCCCAGCACGTCGAAGCGCTCCATGGACTCGATGTTGTCATCGCTGCCCCCGATGGAGTAGATGCTGTCGCCCAGGCTGCACATGCTGTGCCAGCCGCGGGCCGTGGTCATGGGCCGCCGCTCCTCCCACACGTCCGTCCGGTGGTCGTAGCACAGCAGGTTCTTGCGGTAAGGGCCGATCTGGTAGTCGTGGCCCCCCGAGATGTACACGAAGTCTTTGTAGATGGTGCCCGCGTGGCCGTACGTGAACCTGCGGAGAGACCGACAGACAGAGAGGGAGCTCAGTGCTGTGCTGGCCTGAACAGCCACAAGCCTGGGCCTCAGCTGTCTCCTCTGCAAAATGGGAACAACCTGCCCTTTTGGCGGCTGTGAGGATTTAAGGAGATAATGCGGCAGGCACCCCACAAGCACTCTGTAGATGGCAGCTGTCATTAGACAAGAAGGGGCCAGGCAGGTAAAGGGGCAGCTTTGCAGTCATGCCACCTGGGCTAGAATCCCAGCTCTGCCCTTCTCTGAAGCTCCACTGTCCCATCTGGGAAATGGGTATCATCACAGGGCCGTCACCCTTCTCAGAATGGCTGACAACAACTGAAACGATATGCTGTTTCGGCAAACACGTGGGCCCGGTCACATTACGTATCAGAGAGAATAGAGCATAAAATGCAAGTCTAACTGTGACGACGTTCGGGAAAAGGGAAAGCTATACAGACAGCAAATCACTGCATGCCAGGGGCTGGTGGACGGAGGATGTGGGATGAACAGGGACAGCAAGAGGGATTTTTTAGGGCCACAAAACTATTCTGTATGATACTGTAACGGTGGACACGTCATTATGCATTTGTCAAAACTCATAGAACTATGCAACAGAGAGAAGAACCCCAATGCAAACCAGGGACTTTAGTCAATAATGACGTATCAATATTGGTTCATCACTTGTGACAAACTGCAGGCTCCCTTGCAGCACACCACGGCAAGGCAAGACCTTAATAACAGGGAAACTGTGTGTGCGCCAGCAGAGGGTATACAGGAACTCTCTGTACTTCCTGTTCAATTTTCTGCAAACCCAAAACTGCTCTAAAAACTGAAGTCTATTGAAACGGGGAAAAAAGGTTTAAAAAAAGCCAATGGAACATTGTCATGAAATTCGGGATAGTGGTTCCTTAGCCGGGAGGCAGGGGACAGGAGGGCAAAGCATTCGGAGCAATAGTCACAGAAGCACATTGCCAGGGCAGACAGAGTGGCCCTTCAATGTCCGGGCTGCGGGGCTGGGCCGTGGGTTCGTGGAGGCCCCATTACACAAATAAGCCAAAAAATGAGAAAAGATACCAGTAAGTAAATTAAACAAATGTGGGACATGCACGCACTCAGGACGACAGCATCATGGATTGTGTGTATTCCAACTCCTACAGTCCTTTTAGAAAGAAAATACGATAATAGGGTGGTTGTGGTGTTTAAGGCACATAAATCACAGGGCTGGCCCAGAGGAAGGGATGACAACAGACGTTCTTAGCACTATCACGAAGCTTCACTTCCCCGTCTGTGAAATGGGATAATAGAGCACCTGAGCGTAGGGAGATCACGGGTCCTGGGCAGCCCGGGACACGGCCAGAATTTACACCACTGCCCCGCCCCATCTACTGTCCTCCTGGGTCAGATGGTAAGTTACACAGGGGTCCACTCTGCCCCAGCAGGTTACTGTGGCTATCAAGGGACATCACATAAAGCCCCTGGCCCAGGGTCACACAGCAATCAGCAGCTACTACGAAGACTGTCAGATCATCTAATAACATGTATCTTGTGTTAATCCACTGGCTTCCTGGAACCTCTCCACGAAGGCAGCCACCTAGGAATCGGAGGAGCTGGGATTCACGCCCCAACCACGACTTTAAAACATGGCGCTTACCCCATACACTCTTCTAACTTTTGGGGACAAAGTCCCCAAGACACCTGCAAGACACTCCTGTGATTTATGTACCTTAAACACCACAACCACCCTATTATTGTATTTTCTTTCTAAAAGGACTGTAGGAGTTGGAATACACACAATCCATGATGCTGTTGTCCTGAGTGCGTGCATGTCCCACATTTGTTTAATTTACTGGTATCTTTTTTCATTTTTTCGCTTATTTGTGTAGTGGGGCCTCCACTCATCCACAGCATGAGTGGTTCAGGAAGTTGCCTTCGGGTGCAGCAACAGGGAACCTGTAAAATACATGGTGTGCACCTTCCGCTACTCCCGTGCTGGTAATAAACGCTCAATAAACGTACACCAGGATGCTGGGAGGACCAGGGAGAGCAAGAGCCACCGAGCCCGGAGCACGCCCTGTGTGCGAGGTGCCACACCAGGGCTTCCCGGCAGTGCTTGAGGGCGGGAGTTCCTATCGCCCCAGTCTGCAGAGGAGGAAGTAGAGCGTGTGTGGGGGGAAGACACTCGCCATGTCTTAGATTTAGTACAGACGCACCCCACCTCTTTGACGAGCCAGGAGATGTTTATCCTGGAAGTGGAGGCCGAATGCCCAGAGAGTGCAGTGGACTGAACTACATGCCGTAAAAACGTCCCGTTTCAACAGGCTGCCACAAAGCCCCCGGTCACCTTGGCAGGCCGGCCACATAGGACCAGGAGTCGGTCTTGGGACTGTATGTCTCTACCGACGAGAGCGCCCCATTCTCGTTCCGGCCCCCGACGGCCACCAGCATGTCTTCAATGGAGGCGAGGTAGAAATCCACGCGGCGCTGGTTCATGGAGGCCACCTGCGGAGACGAGACACCTGTGCCTTCCCTTCCCCGACCCAGGCGGCGCCTGGCACCGCGTTCTCCACGCGTGTCTGCCGAACGGGCAGCCCAGGAGGGCGGGACGGCGGCCAAGCGAGTGTGGGAGGGGCGGTGACACCGGAGGAAACAGGGACCTTCGGGAGGGACTTCAGAGCCCCCGAGGTTTCCCCGAGACACCCTGAAGCCCCAGGAGGGGGAGGGAGACACACGGCTCCCCAGACTTGCTTGGTCACACGGTTGACCCTGAGGACTAGAATTCCGCAGGATACACAGTTCAGAATTGCTGACTTAGTGGTTTTGCTGAAAGAAAAATTCATATTCCCCCCCATCGGCTAGTTTAAAAGGTTAATGCTGATCGCCACCCGTGTTAACAGCGCAGAAAGTGGCATTCGGAAGAAATTAAAAAGTAGAAGACCTTTTTTTTTTTTAAAGTAAATCCAAGCAGAGCACAGAACGAACACGGTCCCGCAGGAAGCCCGGCATTCGGCGGCTGTGGAACCGGAGCCTGGGAGGACAGGCTCTTTCTGGCGCTGAGACTTCGACCTCGGAGGGAGGTTTTAGATTTTGAGACTAAAATCGAAAGGTCACCTGGAGTCCATTCCAACCGAGTTTTGAGCTCAGAAAAACACTGATTAAGTAAAAAACGGTGAGGTGTGAGTATAAAGACCGAGACGGATTCTCAGGGTGGCGGTGGGGAGGGGCTCCTGGGGAACGGAGAGGCCTTCCCCGGCCAGGGCCCCGCCAACCCACGGGAGCTATGCCCAACCCCGGCCTCTAGGTCGGTGTCCCACACGTATTCCCCAAGGAAGAGTCTGAATTTTGGAGAGAGCAAGGACCGGGAACCCCCAGCTCCGGCGCAGCCAAGCCGCGATGCAACCGCGGGTCTGAGGGCAAGGTCCTCACCCTTCTCAGAGTCAGGCCGCGAACCTGCCCACGGGCCATCCGTGAGCCTCCGCGGCCTCCTTCAACTATTCTAGCTCCCCAACCTCTCCAGAAGAGGCGGGGATGCTGTTTGAACAATGGATCAAAACTCTAGATCGGCGCTGTCCAATGCGGTAGTCATGAGCTGCGTGAGGCTGTTTACATTTACATGTGAATCAGTTAAAATGAAATAAAATTGAAAATAGCACTGGCCACACTTCAAGTGCTCCAATGGCCATATGTGGCTGGTAGCTACGTCATTGGACAGCACAGATGCAGAACGCTCTCATCCGTGCAGAAAGCTCTACTGGGACCGACCCGTCAGGGGGCGGGTGGTCGGCCCTCCCACCCTGACCAGGTGTGTCCTGCGGGCGGGGGGATGGCGGGAGCAACGTCGCTCATCGCTTTATCGTCACACCTCGTTCAGAAGCAGGACAGTCAAGGCCCGAGAGGAGGAAGGGGAGGTCAAGGCTGGGTTCAGGACAGCAAGAGAGGCCTCAAGAGTAAAGAAATAATCCGGCTTTAATCTCACCTTGATCCACTGTTTACAGCGGGGGTCATACCTATAAAGAAGATTGGAGGCCGCATCCCCTCCGTTGTCCCGTGAGAAGCTGCCGCCGGCGATGAAGATGAAGCCCCCCAGCACGGCGACGCAGTGGTGGCTTCGCCGGGCCGGCAGGGGCGTCTCCTTGACCCACTGCTCGCTCTTGGTGTCCAGGTAGCAGGTGTCGTCACTGAGCTCCAGACACCGCTCGGAGACCTCGCCGCCCACGAACAGCAGGCGCTCCTCGTTGGTGCGCAGCGCCGTGCGCTTGGTCTGCATGACGGGCTGCGCCGCCAGGCTGTTGTGGTAGCGCACCGCCTCCTCGATGAAGCCCTCGCAGCCCGCCTCCTTGGGCAGCAGCGAGCACACGGCCGGCTTGACGCGGTGCAGCAGGTCGTTCTTGGGGATGAGCGGGAAGTGGATGTTCTCCAGCACCCGGTGGGCGTGGGCCTCGCGCTCGGGCTGCTGCGTGAGCCACTGCAGGGCGGCCTGCAGCAGGTCGTGCTCGCACTCCCGCTGCACCTCGCTGCTGTCCAGGTACACGCACAGCTTCTGCATGGAGATGTTCTGCAGGAAGTCGGGCGTGAAGGACAGCGTGCCGAAGTGGCTGAGGATGAAGCCGTCGATGAAGGCGTCCAGCCGCTTGAGGCTGTAGATGGAGGCCAGCTCCTGCAGGTACAGGTAGTTGTCCTCACTCACCTCCTGCTCCAGGTAGTCGCAGCAGAAGTCCACCACCGTCCAGATCTGCAGCAGGTGGGCCGTCTCCAGGACGTAGTCGATGTTGCCGCCGTCCAGCGCCAGCTCGCCGCCGTACAGGAAGTCCACCACGGCCTTGAGCCCGATGTAGGAGGCGCCGATCAGCTCCACCTCCTTCTGGAAGGCCTCCCGCATGCCGATGGTGAACATGGAGTTGAAGTAGTCGCTGCACACGGCCAGCAGGTTGCGGTGGGCCGGCACCCGCTGCTCGTCGGCCACCAGGACGATGTCGCAGAAGAGGCCGCGGAGACGCTGCTCGTTGAGCCGCTGCAGCACCGTGCTCGAGTGGTCGGCCCAGCGGTACACCTGTGACGGAGAAGGCAGGTCAGGGAGAGGGAGCACACCGGCTCGGTCCCGGGACCAGCCCAGTGGGGCCTGACCGGGGTTTTATTTATTTTATTCTGAGACAGGGTCTCCCTCCGTTGTCCAGGCTGGAGTACAGTGGCGCGATCACAGCTCACTGCAACCTCCTACTCCTGGCCTCAAGCGATCCTCCCGCCTCGGCCTCCCAAAGGGCTAGGATTACAGGCGTGAGCCACCGTACCCAGCCTCGACCAGCATTTTAGGTGAAACGGAATAAAAGAGAAGAGGAAATGAGATGCCGTGTCAGAGGGCATCACAGGAAGTGAAGGTGTTTCTGCGCGTGTGTATGTATCGTATGTAGGTTTTTCCCCTTCTTTTTCCTTCTTTATAAACACAAGCCCTAAAAACTTTCTTTCTCTCTCCCTCTCTTTTTCCTTCTTTATAAACAGAATTTCCAAAAGCTTTCCTTCTTTCTTCTCTCTTTCCCTCTCCCTCTTTCTTTCTTTGCAATCACAGGTCACGACAGACAGGTTTGAAATGCCGTCTAATTCGGGAAGTGGAGTCACTTGCGGCGTAGCCTCCAAAATCAGCCGGGATCTGGGTCTGAACCCCAGCACCGCCACTTCCTAGCTGTGTAGTCTTGGCTAAGCCACGGCCACCCTGGGGTGGGGGCCTCCGTTTCCTCGTCTCACAAGTGAGGATGTGGGTACTCGCCACGTGGGTTTGGGAAGTTACTGAGACGGAACCTGGCCCAGAGCTGGGCCCAGCAGAGCTGGAGCGATGCTGGCTGTTGTGACTGTCAACCCCACTGGGGCTCCGTTCTGAGGAAGGTGGCATTCTCTGAGCCTTATAAAGTGCTTGGCGCGCATAACGCTACAGAGCACTACCCCTCCCCGACCTGCCCCCCAAGTTCTGCTGCTCAGTCCAAGGAGGTGGCGGGTCCCAGAGATTTAACATAGCTGGACTGAGGTGCTCTAGGGATCCTACTTTGAGAAACGTGGCTTCACCCGCTATTGCCAGGGATAAAGGAAATCTGCCGTGTGTAAAGTGCGGGAATGCTGTCTTCTTCCGGCAGGTCACGTGTGCTGCATGTGGGACATGCACCCTCATTCGAGCAGCACGAAACCCCCTGAGGGAACATCTGTTATAACCCCTATTTCCAGATGAGGAAAACTGAGGTTCAGAGAGACTAAGAGATATGCCCAAAGCCTTGCAGGGACCACGTAGCAGGGCTGAGGTTTGAACCTAGGCTTGATTCCAGAGCCCAAGCCATTAATCACCATGCTATACTGGAATCAACAGATTAATTAATACGAATATTTAGTATGAATTAATTAATTCAGTAAATTTAAGTTGGTGGACACTTAACAAGTGCTACGTGCTTGCCACGTGCATTTGAGGACACAAAGATACATCAAGCCCAGAGGACGGTTTCTAAATAATCCCAACTAACCATGCTTTTGGGATACTGACGCCGCTTTATTTATTCACTGTAAAACAAAAACAAACAAGAAAATTCAACACAGGGAGAAACAGACCATTCAAAACTATCATGCAGGTAGCTGGTCTGTTAAGGCTGACCGAGGCAAAGAACTGGCTGGGGCTGGGTGTTAAGCCTGGAGAGGGGAAAGGTGGGGGGAGGGAAAAATTGACTGAGGGCTTGTGGCTTATTAGGCGCTAGCAGATTTGTGGCTGGCAGGCACCTCCTGAAATTTTGGTTTTTTTTGGAGACAGGGTCTCGCTCTGTCACTCGGGCTAGAGTGCAGTGGCACCCCCATAGCTCACTGCAACCTCCTCCTCCTGGGAGCCTCCTACTCCTCCTCCTGCTCAAGCCATCCTCCTGGCTCAACCTCCTGAGTAGCTAGAACTACAGGCACATGTCGCCACGCCCCGTTAATTTTTAAAAACATTTTCTTATTAGTAAAGAAAGGGTCTCACTATGTTGCCCAGGCTGGTCTCAAACTCTTGGCCTCAAGCGATCCTCCTGCCTCGGCCTCCCAAAGTGCTGGGATTACAGGCGTGAGCCACCACACCAGGCCCTTCCCTGAATTCTTATAAACTACTTCTCAACCTATGTCCTACAACAGTGGGTCTTAGTATTTTTTTTTTCTTGCCTTTCAAATCTGCTCCTTACTGCTGCTGCTGCATTTGTCATTGAGAAACTTTATTTCCCCACGGTCCTTCCACGTCCAGCCAATTCCAGCGTCATTGCCCTGTCCACGCTACAGAAGTGGGCGATGTCCTCACAACCCGTTGAGGGTGCCAAACAGATATTACCTAACGTTCCCTTCCCTTCCAAGTTCAGAGCCAGGCCCTACTGCTTGCACTCCGTCACAGGCTGGCTTTCCAAGGTCTCCCTTGTGGACACCTCTGTGTATTCTGCTTACTCACAGACAGCACCGGGCTGGCCCAGTTTTGGCTTCTAATTAAGCAGGAACGGTCTGGGCCCCTCCCTGGCCTGGACTGAAGGAAGGAAATCACACAGTCCTGCGGCGGCAAGTGATCGAGCACTGGCAAAGGCTCAGTGGCCTGCGAACCAGGTAGCTCCCTGCCCGGCACGGGCCTCTGGTTGTCTCTAAGCTGGGGAGGGTGCGGGCCCTGCCGCACTCAGCTGGAGGTGCACACGACCCCAGGCTGCTGCACAGAAAGGGAAACGGCCCGGGGTGGGAGCAGGGAAGGCCCCGGACTCCAGCTGCCGCGGAGCCATCTGCTCCGGCGAGCCAGTGCGGAGAAAACAGCAGCCCTTGTTTCCAAAACTGGGTCTCCATGCTAAGCAGGCAGGATTTGATCCTTCACCTGGGTCTCGGCTGCAACCTGTTTCTGGTATGTTAGCGTAGCTGATAGATGACAACTTTCCAAAACCGCACAAACGTGAGTTTCCAATTTTCAAGAGACATTATAATAGTTTCAGCATTTCGGGTGATTTACAAGTGCCCGTCCCTAATATTCTCTGATGGTGTTCATTCTTTATTTCCTACTTTAGTGCCTTAATCCCAGGAAAGGCCGAGGGGTGAGGAGGAAGGAGCACAGGGGGTCGGGGCTAACACGGAGAGGATGCAGCAGGTGTGGGGTCTCACACACGAGATGAGAACTCAGCCCCGTCACGGACCGCCGCGTTGCAGGTCAGACGAGCGAACGGCGGCTGCCCCACAGCAGGGAGACTCCGCCCCGCCAAGAACGCGCCACCTCCCACGACGCGGGCGAGTCTCAGAGGCAGCTTTGGGCACTTTTTGAAATACAAAGTTAGAAACATAAATATAATCAACCAACGGATAGAGACCCTATTCCTGAGCGCTTCCATTCGGAGAGAAACAGACTCAGAAGCTAGCACGAGGGACAAGGATTCCTAGTGCTATCAAACTTAGAAAGCGACACTGTCTTCGCGGCCAAGTTCCCGAACAAAGCTCCTTTGAGAGAGCAGTGAGACCTTTCTGGGTTTTCACTCGACAAAGCGGGCCTTGGCAGGAGCCTCCTCAGTGAACTCAAACGGAAATAGGAGACCCTTTCTCGGGAGGACCAACCTCTCTTGCAAACGACACCCCGCTTTTCTTTCACGCACATCTGTGGAACCTCTTTGCCCTTTTTCTCAAACCCGCAGGCTGCTCACACCCCTCTACCTAAAGTAGCGTTTTACTGTTCCCCTAAGAAGCCTTTTAAGACATTTTCCCGATAGTCCCCCAACAAAATTGTAACACCACGGACGCACCAAACATCCGCCTGTGTACTGTATGTAGGGTTGTGCTTCATGTATAAAAACAATAAAATTCTTTCCCCATCTCTAAGAACCAATTCTCACCTGCTTGGGGGCCAATATTGTCCTCACTGAGAATGCATGATTTAAGGTAACCATAAAATTTAATCTGCAAAAGGGACACTTTTAAAGAAAAGAGGGTATTATTTTATTTATAATGAGGAGACAGGTGTACATGGGCGCCTCCCCACGAACAGGTCCCCCCATTTTGTCCACAGCAGCTATGGGGCCACAGGCTGCTCTGAATCACCCCAGGGATTTTGTTGAAGGGCCGGTCCTGCTCTCGGATTTTAGTTTGGCAGGTCTGGGGTGGGGCCAGGCGTATATGTTTCTAAATGGACAATCCCACGGTAGCCTGGACCTGGGGAACCCACCCTCGCTTGCTCTTAGGGTCTCAAAGAGTCATGACCGGGACGAGGACTCCAGGCCCCTTAACATCCAGGTATACACCTTAAGTTGCCGCACCACAAGGTCAAAGGCTGGATTTTCAACGAACACGTCCTTGGAGGTTTTGAGCCTCCAAGCAGGGAAAGAAACCCCCTGGTTCTTTTCCTGTGTCATCCATCTCTTGGGGGGGTACACAGAATAAACGAGCTACACTGTACCACAGAGAAAGCTCTGCAATGCCACACTGCAAAATAAAGACATCTGGCCACAGTGTCTCTAACATCCCTTGCACTTCCAGCTCTCTCTGATTCTATGACACTCCCCCTCCTTGCCTGTTTCTACCTCTCCCGGTTGTTAAGGAGATCAACCACCATACGAACGGCATAAAAATCAGTCTGCGCATGAGAAACGAGTTAATCAGAAACACAATCTCCCTTCTCAGGCAGTTGGCACAGGCGGTAAGTGAGGTGAAACGACTCGCACTGCTAGCACCGCACGCTAGGACTGGCGGCGCTGGGATTCCAACCTCCACACCCTCAGCTTACACTACCGTTAAAAAAAAAAAAAAAAGTGAATGCTCACAGACCTTTGACGATTCGCTGATCTTGTACGGCCGAGACACCCGAGTCTGCCTGCTTCCCTCCATCGCAAACGAGATCGCGGGCCTGCAATGAGAACAGGATTCCTGAGCATGCAGTCATAACTCTAGGTCATTCACTGATTTCAGGCCCTGCTGGCAGATAACAAGGACAACAAGAGTGAAAATGGTCACATGGAGGAAAGAGAGAGGACAGCGTACTACAAAGGTCTCTTGTATGCAGTGCGTCGAGAACTGGGTTGTTAGAACTGGATAGAACATTTCACTCACGTTCAGCATCGGAAATCTCACATCGTCATGTCATTAAGCTCACGTCCTTTTACCTACCTTTTGATTCTTAATCTGAACTAGGTCTTTTGGCTGATCAAGGTTATGATAACAGTTATCATTTCCAAGCCCAGACTGTGGCCCTGGGACCAAGCTAAGGGCCTTTACATCCCGTCTCATTTAACCCTCACAAATACTTGGCCCGGCTGATGTCACTTATCCCATGTCACAGATGAGGATATTGATCTCTCACGGTTACGAAGCTAGTAAATGGCTGAGATTTACATGTAGGTCTGTCCAGCTTCAAATCTGGGCCCTTCGCCGTGATGGAGGGCTGAATGAGGCCCGGTCTTCGAGAGTATCACACTTTTAACACATGATCTGTTGAGGCTGTAGCGGAGTAATGACTACCCCGTACGAAGTCTGTCCTAGACACTGTCCTGAGTGCTGTTCCGTGTCTTCACTCATTTAATCCGTACTCCAACCCCATGGGGTCGGCACTATTGCCACCTCATCTTACCAGGAGGATGCTGATAGCAGTGAGGTGAAATAACTCGCACAGCTTTGCAAGCTAGGAGCTGGCAGAGTTGGGATTCCAACCTCTAAACCCTTAGTTTATACCACCATTTAAAAAAAAAAAAAAGCCCTTAGGCAGAAAATCTCTGCTGGGGCATAAGCCTTGCCTTGAACATGAACTTGAGCAAGTGTGTTAGTTAACCTCTTTGAACTTCACAGTCAAATCCATAGAATGGGCTGGTGCACCAAGCATTTCTACCAGCATCGAAATGCTAAGCAACTCACTAACAGCACAGAGCTGGGCTTATGGGGGGTGGGGGCGGTGGTTAGAGTTTCTTGGGGGGGGGGCACACACAGGAAGGACTAAGCTAGCAGTGTTAGCACAAGTCACATACTGGGACTGAGGTTTTAAAGAGGAATTTTTTTCCCCTGCTACCTGAGTTCATGAGAAGAGTCCATTTGTTACCTATTGAAGGAACAGCCCTGGCTAATAAAACACAATGTGACAAAAAGTCAGCACTGTTCTAAGATAATCGGGTACACAGGGAGGGGGCTGCAGTGTTCCCGTGGGAGGAATGCATTAAGGCACAGTCCATCCCGCGTAACTCCCCCAGGGCAAGGAAGGGACAACTAGGTTTCTCTTGACAAACTAGCAACTTTGTGACAATGACAAGCGGTTCCCACCTCTGGCCTTCCTGAATGCCCCTAGGCTGCTGGGAGGCCCAGAGAGGGAAGGGAAGAAAACCAGCATTGGAGCAGTGCCTGCTGCATGCCCCTGACTTCCTCGTTTGGCCCTCACCCTCTGAGACAGGTGCCACCACGACTTCCACCGCGAGACACCCACGCTCGGTGGCTTGGGGGCTCGCCCAAGGTCACACTGCAGAAAGCAGCAGGTGCCCTCTCCCTCCACCAGCCCGGGCAGCCGCCAGGGCTCGGTTTCGCCCTCCGTCGCCGGCGCTTTCCTTTCTAGGCCGAGATCTCTGGACAGAGTCCCCGGCGCCGGCGCCTCCCTTTGTCCCCCGGGCAAGTGGTCTGGGGCTGCTGCTACCCGTGCTGGGTGTCAGCCGCCTCCCGTGCTTTTCGGAAGCAGGCGGAGGGTCAAGGCCACCCACGAACGCGGTGGCGAGCCCAACTTACACGGCAGAGGTCTTTCGGTAAACACGGGCACAGAGGCCGCGTCCGGGACGGGAGGGTCCCCGGGGAGCCTCCTCCCCGCGCTCCTTCCCGGCCGCGGCGCTCGAGGAAACGCGCGGCTGCCCTGCGGCACTCACCGTCCCGGGCGTCGCCGGCAGGTCTCCGGGGACCCGCTCGCTCCGAGCCGGCACCCCCTGGCGGAACCGCCGGCACAACGGCCGCCGGGCACGCTCGAGCCGGCGGCGAGGAGGCGGCGCTGGGGCGCGCCCGCGGCCGGCGCCCACGGCGGGACACTTACCTGCGGCCGCGCGGGGGACGGGCGCACAGGCCGCACCTGTCCCACCTGCGGGGGCCGCGGCATTCCCCCACCCCCGCGGCGGCCGGGACGCAGGGCCGCGGCGCCCCGTTCGCCCTCCTGCCCGCCCCGCTGCACCCGCCCAAGCACAAAGGGCCGCCCGGGATCGCAGCTCGCCGGGGCCGGACCCTCCGGATCCCCGCCCGCCCCCGCCCCGGCGCCCCTGGACGGCGGCGCCCCC